GTGTTTGTTCATATTGTTTGGATCTATCGCTCTACATCATGTCATCTTGCTTAAGGCGTTACTCCGTTCTTGATAACTTAATACACTAGATGCATGCTAGATAACGGTCGTTGTGTGGAGTAATAGTAGTAGATGCAGGTAGGAGTCGACCTACTTGTCACGGACGTGATGCCTACATATATGATCATTACCTTAGATGTCATCATAACTATGTGTTCTTCTATCAATTGCTCAACATTAATTTGTTTACCCACCGTATGCTTTTCTTTCAAGAGAGAAGCCTCTAGTGAAAACTATGGCCCCCCAGGTCTATTTTTATCATATTATTTTTAGATCTATAAAATCAAAAACATAAAAATAACTTGCTGCAATTTATTTACTTTTATTTTATTTTTGCATTTTTACTTATCATTTATATCTATCCCTCATCCTTGCAAGTAACCGTGAAGGGATTGACAACCCATTTATCGCGTTGAATGCAAGTATTTGCTTGTTTATGTAGGTGCACACATTGGTGACTTGTGTGTTCCTCCTACTGGATTGATACCTTGGTTCTCAACTGAGGAAAAATACTTATATCTAATTTGTTGCATCATCCTTTCCTCTTCAAGGGAAAAACCAACGCAAACCCAAGAAGTAGCAGGAAAAAAATTTGTCGCCGTTGCCGGGAAGGATCGGATATACATCAAGCCTACCAAGTACCCATCATAAATTCTCATCTCTTGCATATTATTCGCCATTTGCCTCTCGTTTTTCTCTCCCCCACTTCTAAAATGTTTTCAGAAAAATACAAAAATATTTGCCTTTTTTCGCCTTCTTTTTATTTGTTTTTGCTTGTGTGCTAGATTGCTGGCTTTGCCACGATGTCTCAAGAAAATACTAAGTTGTGTGATTTTCCAACACTAATAATAATTATTTTATTAGTACTCTGATTGCTCCGGCCACTAGTGCAAAATCTTATGAAATTAATGATGTTTTGTTGAATCTTGTTATGAAAGAAAAAATTTCTCCTAATGAAGATGTTGCTTCCCATCTTAATACTTTCATTGAGTGTGATATGCAAAATAAAAAAGATGTGGATAATAATATTGTCAAATTGAAGTTATTTCCATTCTCTCTACGAGATCGTGCTAAAACTTGGTTTTTATCCTTGCCTAAAAATAGTATCAATTCATGAAATAAGTGTAAGGATGCTTTTATTTCCAATTATTTTCCTCCCGCTAAAATCATCTCTCTTAGGAACGATATAATGAATTTTAAGCAACTCGATCATGAACATGTTGCACAATGATGGGAGAGGATGAAGTTAATGATAAAAAATTGCCCTACTCATGGTTTAAGTTTATGGATGATCATACAATTTTTTTATGCTATATTGAATTTTGCATATAGAAATCTTTTAGATTCCGCCATGGGTGGTACTTTTATGGAAATCACATTCCGACGTGGCGGGGTCCAGCCCGCTGTCACGTCCCATCGCGCACATGGCCTGGCAGGGCCTCTCCGGCCGCTGTTCACCATGTGGCGCTTGTGTTGGGCCGCAAGAGGCGCGTCCCTTCCCATCCAAGACTCGGCGGGTGCCTTGGTTTCCTGCCCATACCGGGGTGCCACGATCCTACTTTCGGAAGCCTGCACACAGTGGGTGTTGCCGGACCCGGTGGCCCCAAGCTTCATCAACCCAGCCGCCTTCTCAAGGGGGTGAAACTGCAAAGGCCCCCCTACTTGAAGCCGGCGAGCCTTCACAGCTTCGGGAACTACTGTCGGGGGGTTGGACCCTGGGCAGGCAACGGAACCCGGATCCTTTTAAAAACATCGGGGCTGGCAATGCCCCTCAATCCGGCTCGCCCCTGGCCGGCTTCCCAGTGCAACCCGGCCATGTGCCGCAACCCAGTCAAGCCAGTTGGCGCACGCCGACCGGTTCCCACAAGACAAACCTCCATCGACAAACAAGCATTTACGCCAATCAAGCCAGTCAAGCCAGTTGGCTATAGTGCGCCCCCTTTACGCCAGCCCCGACGGGCACGGCTGCTGTGCCGACCAAGCCACCATTTGGGGCGGGCGGCGTGTTGGAGGCGCAACCCTGTAGCAAGCCGGCGCGGCTGTCCCATGATGTCCGACACGGCGTGCCTACAGTACCCAGCAGCCGTCTGTACCCGCGCTCGGTGGGCTCGGTACAGACCGCACCTGACGGACCCGGCGAGACCCGCACCTGGCAGACCTGGCAGGCCCGGCGGCCCCCACTGCCGGCTCCTAGACACTGACATCCCGGCCCCACGCACATGTAACTTTACCATTGTAACCCCCGGGGGCAGCCTATAAGATCCCCCCGGAGCCGCTCCATGCAACGCTGGAATCTAGCAGAACACTCACACACACACGGAGAAGGAGCAGCCTATGCATTGGCTTGTCTTCCTTCCTCCTCGAAATAGCTCAAGGAGCAAGCTTGTATCCACCTCATATAAACCACACTCGGCAGGACTAGGGGTGTTATCTCTCCAGAGAGCCCCGAACCTGGGTATGTCTTGTGTCTCATGCTCGCTCGTACCAACCTCGCCTCTGGAGCTCACCGGCTGCCTCTTGCCTATCCCTCTCTTTAGCCATCCATGGCATCTGCCGTGAGCCTACCACGACAATAATATTTGGCATACTATAGTGCCCCTGATGATGAAAATCTTTAGCCTTGAAAGTGGTGTCAGGTGCGTTGGCCACCTCAGAAAATAAACAATACATGCACTTGTCGACTCGGGCATCATGCCCTATTTGCGATTGGGGAGTTGAAGGGTCATTCCATGTCCTAGTTGGGTGCGCCCATGCACAGGGCCTTTGGGATGTGATGAGTGATGTTTGGCCTATTCCTCGCAAAGAACAGGTGCTTGATACCAGCAAGGATTGGCTTCTGTTGCTCTTGTCAAGTTGCTCGGACATTGCATGTAGCATGATTGTGACGCTGGTGTGGCGCATATGGCAGGTTCGAGTTGACATCACACATGGAAAGGAGGCCGCCCCAGTCCAAGTCTCGGCGGAATTTCTAGAAAGCTACATGAGGACAATCTTAGATGCTCAGAAGTTCACAATAGAAGAAATGTTGAAGGGAAAAATGGTAGTCCAAGATGTATGGGAAAGACCAAAGCATCATTGTTCTCCCCAAGTGCTACAGTGATCGGTACCTCCGAATAATATGTTGGCCTTGTCCGCAGATGGTTCCTTTTGGAGGAGGATGGCACTGTGGTAGTGGGGATGATCCTCCGGAGATATGATGGCTCAGTAATCTTTGCAGCTTATCGATATATATTTAATTGCAGTGAAGCTCTAGAGACTGAGATACATGCGCTGATGATTGGTATGGCGCTTGCTAGACACCATACAGAGCTTCCAGTGTTGGTTCAGTCAGATTCTTCGACTGCCTTATCTTGTCTTTTAAATTCTAGTTTAGATCGTTCGGTGTATGGTCAGTTAGTGGCTGAAATTAAGGCTCTAATAATTGATAGGGTTTTTGTTCCGCGGAAACTTCACAGGTCACAGAATAGTGTTGCAGATTGCCTGGTAAGGTATAGTCGCTCTGAGCGAGCTACGACTATGTGGCTCGGTAGAGGACCCCCATGTATTGAGGATCTCCTGCCCAAGGATTGTAGCTCTACCATGATGGAATAAAACCCTTTTGATGTTGAAAAAAACTTTTGACATGGTTTTGTCAATTGTTACAAGTATCTTTTATAAGCCATGAGTAGTCCATCATCGTACGGTGTTAGACAAGAAAACAAAGGGGAAAATATGATGATACGAAAATTGTTTATTAAGCTTGGTGTACCCATGCCCTGATCTCCTAGATATTTGTTGTTGGGAGTACCTAGAACTCATCTAGATGAGATATAATTTGGTCTCATTCACTTGGAAAATAAGAACATATAATATCCACGTCAGCACACACGCATCTTATAGCATCTTATAGCATCACATCCAATGGCTATAAAAGATGAATGAGACCAAATTATATCTCATCTAGATGAGTTCTAGCAAAACTGTTTGTTGTTTCACTTTTTTTTCAAAAAAGATCAAATCAATTATAAAAATTCACCGGAAGTACAAACTATATCAAATATAATAAAATTTTCATCGAAATACATGAAACACCGAACGACCATTGACACCCCCAGAATGAGCCATGACGCGCCACTGTCGCCGCTCCCATACCGAAGCCCGTCTGACCTTGTCGATGACAGCCTGGAAGTCTTCATGTACATGCCCCTAAGGATAAGCGCCCCGGAGCCGCAGCCGTCACCGTTGAATCCTTGAATCGAAGAACCTGACACCAAATCTCACTGTTGTGCACGCATGACGAGAAACTCTAACCTAGGAGCTGGCAGGAATCTACGCCGTAGCTCCATCTAATCCGTCAACTCAAGGAGGATCATAGCCTGAAAGACTGGCTCAAAGAAGAAGCGACGCCCCTGAGAGGACTAAAACCCTACCTAGTATCTACCTAGCCGGAGCCGAGGCACTAGGTTTCCCCTCCCCGCCACCGGCTGTCGATGTAGCAAGCAGAGGGGAAGCAAATCCACAGGTTCGTCGGCGGAGATCGAGGGAAAGAAGCTTTCCCTAGTTGCCTTGCGAGACGGGAAAGAGAAGTCGTACGTATTCTTTTTGTAGGTGCGCGTTTCCTTCTGTTTCGTTTTTTGAAACCTTGGTATACTAAAGTTTCATAGTAAAATAAAGTTGGGGTACATGAAAAAGCAAAGCGGTAGCAAAAAATATGTGATTACAAAGTTTATAAATTTCCCTTTTTCTTCTTCCAAACGACATAACATCTAGGATCCACAAGAGATCCTCCACATATATATTGCAAGTTTAAACCAAACTGTTCGAAGCCAGGAAGTAGTAATCTATAGATTGCAACAGTCCAATATTCGATATGATCAATAGATAGATTAAAAGACATAAGAATGACATAATCAATTGGCTTACAAACGCCATATGGACAGTGACATGCATGGATTAGGTACTCAGGAATACTGCTGACCCCTCTTCTGCCTCTCCGCGGTCAGGTTGAAGAGCCTGTCAGGGCAGAGCTGGCTGCAAAGCTCCATGTAGGTGGAGTAGAGCACCCTGTCCTTGGCGCCGGTGCGGTGTTGACCTGTGCACGCACAGAAATACTTGAGGTGTTCCAGCGAGCATAGCCCAAGCGTCTGCCCCAGCAGCAGAAACACCCAATTTACCCTCTCCTTCTCCTTCGGTATCACCGGCCGCAGGCTGTTCCTCTGCCCGCACCCGTCGCAGTCTGGCACGACGGGGCTCATCCACGCTTTAGGTGCACGGTCATCCATGTCGTGGATGTTGTGGGACACGAAGTCGCGGACCTCCTTGAACTTGACGGCGATGTTGTAGGAGACCGTCTTCAGGAGGTCGCAGCGTTTGCACTTCACCTCACCCTCCACGGTGGTGATGCCCCGCTCGAAGAGATAGGAGACTGGGTGATGTATGGCGGCACGGTTGGTCGCCCACGGAAACAGTGGGGAAGCGGGTGTGGCACCGTTGATGGAAGGCGGTGAAGCAGTGGCGCTCGAAGCCCCGACGGTGATGGCATTGTTGGCCGCGGTGGCACCGTCGACGGCGGCCGGCTGGGGTAGAGCGCTGTTGGTGACGCGCCGCCGGGGTGATTGGTGGTGTGCAGGAGGTGAAGCCCGCGGTGCAACCGCGTCCTGTTTTATCGGCGGCACGAGAGGAGGAGCCGCCGCTTGTTTCGCCGCCAGGGGAATGGCGGCCGATGCAACCACATCAAACAGCGTTGGTGAAGAAAGGACCTGGCCGGCTCCGGCGGCGATGAAAGCCGCACCGTCCGCGTGCATCTGGACATGCGCCACTAGACTGACGGCGGCTGGCGGCGACACAGGCGAGGTACGCCGCGGCACCGGCGGTGCCTGCGTCACATGGAGGCAGGGCGGCGCATTCATCGGCGGAGCCGCCAAGCCGGCGCTGCTGCCGTAGATGGAGCCGAGGGACAAGCGCCAGAGTGGCTCATCGGCGACGAGCTCGCCCTCTTCGTCACCTCCTCCCGCGCTCTTCCTCTTCTGCCCCGACGAGGAACCGGCGGTGCGGCCCATGGCGCCAGATTGATTGCACAGATGGAATCCGTCGGCGCGCGCAGGCGGTTCATATAGCAGAGTAGATGGACGCCTGGGAAAAGAGGGAGTTGAGTTTATTACGGCGGTGAGGAGATTTTTTCGGGTTTCAACAATTTGTGCTGGTGTGGACGCGCGTGCTTTCACATTCATTTAACCTGTTCGTGTTCACATTACGGGCAAAGTGGTGAAACCACAAGATTGTATCAATTTTTATCGGGAATTACGTACGGAGAAGAAAGGGCTCAGGCTGGTCACAATGGGCAAGAACATAGTCTAGTAACTTACACATTTTTCTAGACTATGTTATTACCTCCACAGTGGGTAGGAACATCTATGTAGTGTCATGCAACAATGTATTTATTAGATTATAGACTCATTGTTTCTTGGAGTGTGTAATGTTCCGGTAACTTAGCTAGTTACCACAAACACCTCTCTCTTCATTAAATATGTGACACATAAGCAAAATTGTATTGGAGTGTGTGATGTTACTTTTAAGTTCCTCCCCATTGTGACCAGCCTCACCACCATGCACAAGTATATTTTGTACAGTACTAACAACCAATGGATAAGTTTGATGCGCATGCACACGCGTTGCATGCTGTGTGCATCTCGTTCTAACTTTTTTTTTGCGGGGTTATCTCGTTCCAACTTCTAACCACTTATATTTTTTGCACGTTTACTAAATTACATGCACAAGTTGAAAAGTCTAGGGTCGGTCATTTTTTTCGTGCAGCGCGAGGCCTGAGAAGCTCTAATGACGAACGCCGGCGACAACAAGGCCGAGCCTCGTATGAGCGGGAGCCGGCGGGAGCGAGTTCGGAACTTAATGGGGGTCGGGTTGCAAGGGAGGGGGGAGGGGGATGCCAGAGTTGTACATCAAGGCGAGGCTTCTAGGGATGGTCGGGGCGGGAAGGCAAGGCGGCGATACTCGCCGCTCCGAGCGAGGGGTGGAGGCAGGCGGTTAGGACTAGGGAGTGGGGAGGTACATGAGGAAGAATGAGGGGGGAAGGATTGGGAGTGGGGAGGTATATTTTTTCGAGAGTACGTCAATGGTGTACTATATTTTCATTGAACGCAGAGAAGTTAATTATAAGAAACCAAGCGGAATGCACACATCCTATTTGGCAACCACCAACACCTACACCGCCAAAAATACAAAGCTCACTCTCTCACAAATGGGTTTAGACCTCCTGCACCAAAACCTATGAGCGACCAATTCTTGATATCCAAGAGCACTTGCCTCACAAGTTGGTCCGGCATATGTTGATCATGAGCTCTGTTGAACACCCTCGCGTTTCTTTGCTTTCACAGCACCCAAGCCGTCCCCAACACAAAATAATCAAGCCCTCGACGTGTTCTCCCAGTAAACCTCCTTCTTTGCTGCAGCCACCATTCAGTGAAAGTGATGATCTGGGAAGGCGTCTGGATATCCAACTGCAAGGTGTCGAAGCATGGGTGCCAAACCTCCCTTGCGTAAACGCATTGCACAAGGATGTGATCCACATTATCATGTTCCTGTAAGCAAGTGAAACAAGAGGATGGCTCATCCTGAAGCTCATGCCTAGCGCGTCTGTTCGAAGTTCACAACCGGTACTGCACTGTAAACCAAGCAAAAATCTTGCAGCGTAAAGGAGCCCAACTCCTCCATATGGCATGGGCAGTCGGCGGTCGCACAAGTCCCATGCACATCCTTTGATAAGTCAGACTTAGCTATGTAGCTACCAGACTTGTCCGCCGGCCAACTAAACTGATCTGGTAGCTACTCATTGCGCGGCACCATGGCAATCGCAAGGCACAAGTGAGCTATATGCATATGCGACAGGAAGGAGATATCTTCCTGCACGTCCGTCGTCCATGCTTTATCGATCGGCGCATGTCGCACGGTTATGTAATTGGCGCTCGCGTGCTCAGGGCAACTTCAATGCAGGACTCTAAATCGTCCGGCCGCGTCCGTTTAAGGGTAAACAGACATAACAGACATAACAGGCGGCCCAATACGCGGGAGTAAACGGATTAATGTTTTTGTTTCCTTTTAATCCATTCCCGGTCTAATTTTAGGCCGCGTTTGCGGCCAAACTAACACGCGCGGATGGGTA